AACAACATGAACGGGCATTTTATCGTGCTTGGTGGACCTGTAAAAAGCTAAACATTTTTGGATTCAAATACATATTTTGATACAGTGGATTTTAAAGGTTAATATTCATTTGGAAATTCCTCTTGCATTTTTTGAGGTTCTGTATTTATTCCTGACTAGCATTAAAGAGTCTTTCTTGAAATCTGTCTGGTTCTGGCTTCCTTAATCTTGCCTCCTTGCGTGGGGCTAGATGGCAAGATGGGATTTGGTAGAAGCCCAGAGAGATGTTTGAGGCTGCCAAGAGTTGTTTTTGATACAGATAGGTTAAACAGATGAATAGATCAAGGCTGCCTAATAGGGGCAACCGAAAGATGTGGTCTCCCTTATATTGGGATCGATGCAATTGAAACTAAGATTGGGTGCAAGGGGTCTCAAGTGCTTTTTCAATAGACAAGTGAAATAAAAGTGCTTTAAATGAATGTATTTTATTTATTAATATAGTGGGCTCTTTTGCATCTTTGGCTTACTGAGTTATTCTTCCCTTTCCCTTTCCCCCTTCCCTTTCCCCCTTCCCTTTCCCCCTCCCCTCCCCTCCCCTCCCCTCCCCATTGTCTGTGTATATCCTGTTAATATATGAACGTTTATCCAAGCAGCTTTATTGTTAATGTACAGCCTTTATTTTATAGTGCCAGATCAGATTTGGAGGAAGAAAAGAGATAGCTTCTGATTCAGATAGCAGGTAAGTCTGAAATAACATGATTTTTTTTAAAAAATGAGAAGTTCAGTCTGCTGGTGTTTATGGTGGGTATCAGGTCTTAAGAGAAGATGACAGCCTGTGCAACAGAGGAGGATGACCTGAGCTTTTCAGTGCCTTATTTTGTCTTCCTCAACCACTTCTGTCCATGATTACTGATGATGGGGAACATGGTTTCTTGCATGTTGTGGCAGGAACTGCACAGAAACTGAAGTATGAGTCTTAAAATAGGCTTCTTGTTGTTATGATGGTCCATTGAGTCAATCCTGTCTCCTGGTGATTAGAGGAACAAGTCCGTGCAGTTTTCAGAAGTGGTTTGCCGTTGCCTTCTTCTTCCTAGGGCTGAGAGAGAGGGACTGGCCCAAAGTCACCCGGGCTATCCCTGCATTCTAACTAACGGATCCTTTTATAATGGGACAAATCACAGCTGAACCAAGGCCTTTGACACAAACAGCTGTTTCGGCTTGAGCTAGGAGTCTTAGACAGGGATGTGCCAGATTGTTCGGTGCGCCTTAGTAATTGGTTGGGCCTTTTGTGGAGGATGTTGGCTAGGAAGCCATTTCTCACCAAGATATTTCTACTTCTTTTTCTTAGAATAAGTTTGCTTTGTGATTTGTTTTGACAACTGTGACCGGCCAGTGGCCAATAAGTTCTGGGATTTGAAGACCATCGGCTCACACCAGGCTGAATGCCAAAGGCATTTTATTGTGAATTAGGAGAGTCGTAGCAGAAAAAAGAAAATATACCAGATTCTACCTGTTTAGCTTGGCAAGAACCCCAAAATGAAAACGAATGGACCCTTGGCAGCTGTCTGTGTAGCTCCTTCCCACCTCTTCAGGGTTCAAAATGGCTGGGTTCTCGTGCCAATTTTATACTTTTTTCATCTTATAGGAGATGCAGTTGGCATCTAGAGATGGTTTGGTGGGACATCTTACCAGTGACTTGATTGTGGCTCAGACAGTTTGACTGATTCTGAAAGCCGTCTCTAAGCAAGACACATCATGTTTAGCAAGCCACTGGTCATCTTCTCTTCTGAAGAGCAGTCCGTGTCGTCCTCTTGATCTTGTTACAAGCTGTAAGATGGATAGGAGGCGTGAAAGTGATATGGTGCAATTGATAAGGCTTGTTCTGGAATCTTTTTAAAGCATGGGTATAGGGAACTCATCTTACATGTGCAGAGAGAGAGAAAAAATAGGCTACATCTTTGTACCTCCTTGTCATTTCTTGGCAGTGACCTATATGGGAGCAACCTGACACTTAGTTTGGAGGAAGTGGATCTAAAGAAACTCAGTTTCTCTTCTCTCTTTTTGTGGTAAGGGACATAATACCCACATTTTTCAGGGAAATTCTGTTTTTATCATGTTGTGGTGCCCCATCTGTTTCTCCAGAAAAGCAACTGTACTTTAGGGCCTTGTTTCTCTTCTGTTCTTCTTCTTTTTCCCTTTCATGTCATGGCTATCCTATAATGAGCCTGCAGGCAGGGGCAGTTTCGCCTTTCAATATATGCACAGCATTTAGAAAACTTTAAAATCTATTAACAGCATCAGGAAGAAACGATTGTCGTTGTGCAATTCTGGGGTGGGGTTATCCCTGGCTATGTTCACTGAGTGTGGGGTTTGAACATTGTACTTTCTAAAAATGAAAGAAGGAGAGGGGACTTTCCTTTCTCATTCCAGACCAATGAGGTATCTCCCCAGGGCTGTGCAGACTTTTTGGGTGGGTTGTTTTGACTGATCTGGAACTGCGTCAATGCTCTGTTTTCAGCTCGCAATGTGTCTGGTATGGTTGCAATGGCCCATTTCAGACTCCAAAACCCTTTTTGACCCGAAATGGAACATTTCAAGGTTGAGTCATTTTGAATTAAAAATGTATTGCATGCCCTCCACCACAAAATGCTTGTACAAAATTGAGGGCTACGTATCATTATCCTTTTTCTGGTCTAGATGGTTGACCTCCCCTTGTGCTTTTGGGGAATCAGTGTGACTTTGGAAAGGCTGGGCTGTATATAATAGAACAAAGTGGCTATAGAAGAAACCATCTACAATAGTGCCTGGCTACACAAGGCTAAATTCACATCATACCGAGTTGTAATGTGGCCTGTTCAGTTGCGGTTGAAGGTATTTCATAAATCAACCTGTCATTGATTCTGAGACTCATGGTTTATGGTTTGAGGACCCTTCGTGCAATTTTGGAGGTCGGTGGGCACCAGAATGCTTGGATGGATGCCTTCTTCTGCCTTGTTTTCTTGCCACAATGACAGCAAGCTGTCACTGAGCTGAAACAATATTGCCAAAGTAAGGGAGGGATTTTCCAGAATTCTGATCGCTTTTGTTGTTGTCTGGGGTGTGTGGTTTCTGAGTAGGCAAGGAAAGTTCCTTTCCTGGCAGTGCTTCCCTCTTGCCTTGAGCTAGGACTTAGGAAACATGGTTCACCTGAGCTGAGCCTCACTAGTCTGGCTTTCGGGTTCCTTAGACACCATCACCCGTGTCTCTGTTGCCATGTTTCCCTGCATCAACTTGCTTTTCAGGGTGAGCTGCCTTAAAATCTGGAGGATTTACTTGCCTATCTTGGTTGATAGTATGGACTAATGAGAGCTTGGCTGGGTCAGCACAAATGTCTCAACCCAGGATCCTGTTTCCCAGGAACAGAACATGAAAGGCAGCATCACCTTCCCAGTAAATAGCCATCAGGGAAAGATCCATTCACAGTTTTCTTCTCAATGAATTTGCCCAAGCCTTTCTCAGTGTAATGAATTCCATTGATCAGATGCATCACTTTAATCTGGTTTAATCTGGAATCCATAGGTTAGCAATATGGTGAAAACGTGGGCCAGGGTGCCCACGGCAACTCAGATGCTAAGCCAGTGTTTCTCAACCTTGGCAACTTTACGATGTGTGGACTTCAACTCCCAGAATTCCCCAGCCAGCATGCTAGGAGTTGAAGTCCACACATCTTAAAGTTGCCACGGTTGAGAAACACTGTGCTGAGTAGGGTAACATGTTTTTTGAAGCGTGCATCATGAGATCTGGTTTGCAAGTCTCACCAGTTTTTCAGATTCTCGTGTTCGAAAAGGTTTTAAGAGAGAGTACCCAAGATCTCAGGAATGAGATAGCCCAAGTATTGCAAGGCTTGGGTTTCTTTGTTTTTTTGTTTTAAATGGGAGCCATGCCAATGTGCAAGATTGCACAACAGGACCTGCCACCTGAAGAAGTTATTGACCCCAACCTGGTCCTTCCTGAACTTGCAAGTCCACCTTAAAATATTTCAGGCAGACTTGTAATGCTGGAAAGTTTATAAAGTTGTTTATCAGGTGAGAATGTTTTATGCTAAAGGGAGGGGTTGGTTTTGCTTTTCCTGGATATTTGTTGCTCTTTTCTGTATTTTATTGTTGCAAACCATTTTTAATCATGTGTACCACCCAGGCATGTTATACGGAACTGGGCAGCCTTACCGGTTTCATAAAATAAATGCCTAAAATCTGGTTGATAACCCAAGTGTGGGTAGCTCTTGGATGTTCTTCCTTTTTCCAGGTTGTTTTTTTTTTTAAAAGGCATTAAGACATTTTGAAAACGTACTTCTTTCCCCATCTCTCCCAGTGTAAACGTGTGTGAGGAGGATTTTCTTAATCCTACCCACGATGCCCATTTGAGATTTGATTGGTGCTTCCAATGGAGCACTTTCCCACGCTAAGCTTGAACATCTGTACCGCTTGGCACTGGCAGGCGCTGGTTAACGTCTATTGCCTTTGCAAGCCAGCTTTTGGTCTCTGCTTTTCCCCATTTTGCGCAGCGTTTCCCATTAAAGTGCGGTTGTTTTTCAGAGTTACGTGCCTCTGTGCGCAGTTTGAATCCGTCCTTCAGCACGGCTTAAAGAGGACCCGGGGGTTAGCTTTAACCGCAGCAGCCATCAAGCAAGTCACAGGCTTCTCCAGTAAAACTGAAATGGGTAATTCAATCTTCCAGCATGCTTGCCTCTTCCTCCTTTTTTTTCCTTAACGTGCTTCGGCGGTCTTACTTCAGTGCCAACAGCTGGCAGCTGAACTCATTTCAACAGCGTTGCTGGAAGGAAAAGAACGATTACGGCTTTGGTGTTCTACGTGAGTTGAGGCTTGGACAGGCTTCCTCATAATCATTATCGTTTCCAGTGTTAGGCACATCTGTTCTATTATGGTTGTATTCCTGGGGGTTTCTCAGTTGGAAAAAGCCTGGCTGCAGAGCTCTTTCCTAAAAAGCAGGTAATAAATGTGAAAAATTACAAGAAAAACTGTAGCTCTTCCTGTATTGGTTTCTGAGGTTTGTTGGTTCTTTGCATTGTGGCTGGTGGTCTGAGATCCTGGGAATTCCCCTCACTTTTGGAGCTGAAGAGAGCAGTGGTCAGGAAGAAATATTCCTTGATTGCTGCCCCCCCCCCAGAGTACACTCATGCCTCTCCCTCGCCAAGAGTAAACCCCCAGTTTAGTCACTTTTCAGAAAGCAGTTAAAATATGGTGACGTGTCTTTGGAGAGCAGCAGTTATGCTTTGCTTCTTCCTGTATCAGGGTTTTTTCTCAACCTTGGGGGCTTTAAGATGTGTGGACTTCAACTCCCAGAATTCCTCAGCCAGCATGAATTTTGGAAGTTGAAGTCCACACATGAATTCTGGGAATTGAAGTCCACACATCTTAAAGCCCCCAAGGTTGACAAACACTGTCCTACATGATTAGCCACAGGCTATTTTAAATTGTACTGTTGTTTGATGAGCGTGATTATGACGTGTATGGTTTTTAATTTTTTTTTATGATTTGAGATTTGTCATCGTGGTAGTGTGGAAATATTGGGAATGAATACATCGATTGGGATCTAATAACTGCTGGAGGATTCCATGTTCTCCATCCATCCTTAGCCTCCCAGAGTCATGATGTTGAGATGGGTGGCTCTATAAATTGATGATCATGATCATCATGATCATCATGATAAATTGATTATGATGATGATGATCATCATCATCATCATCACCATAAGATGATGTTGATGGTGTACCTCTTGCTTAGAAATGAAGACTGGCTTCCAGTGTGAGACAATATAATAGTATAAGTCAATATTCACTTTACAACAAGATGTGTCTTATTTAGTTTCTGCTCAGTGTGTTGTGGAAACCTAGCTATTATAATTCATAAAAGCATTCTTTAGTATTTGTTGCATGGCTCCAGCCCCTTTTAATTTATTTAACAAATCATAGTTAAACAAATCAGATTTACCATGCTGTACTAACCTACTCAAGCTGTACATATGTGTAAATAGATTAGATATAAAAATCTAATAATAATAAGTGAGAATGCGAAAGAGCACATTTTGCTTTTATGTTTATTTCTTTGTTTTTCCTTTGTTAATTTTGTTTGGATTGTTATTAGAATGTGCTTACACTCATCTGAAGAATTCTTGCATTATTGGGAAATCTCAAGAGCACTTGTGAATCCATCTTTTTCCCCCCCAGAATCCATGTTCTGGTACTACGTGAAAGAAGTTCTTAATAAACATGAATTGCAACGATTCTATTCTCTGAGGAATATCACTACAGATACGGGTCGAGGTCGGGCTTGGCTACGTTGTGCTCTCAACGAACATTCCTTAGAAAGATATTTGCATATGTTGCTTGCAGATAAAGCTCATCTTAGGTAATTTTTCTAAATGCTCTTCCTCATGGGGAAGGTGGGTCTGGTTTTGAAAGGAGGACTGACTTTCTTTTAGGTAGATATAGTTCTGTTGCCAGAACTCTAGGATGTTTTTACCAAGGGGCAGGAGAGGGGGGTTGCAGAGATCCAGATTAGAAAAGAAAAAGGTGTCTTGGAAAGCATGTGGGTATACAGGTAGTCCCTGTTGACCTTTCCTTAAATGTGTATTTTTTTTCTGGATGGTCCTGTAGCTGTAGAGGGCAGCTGAGGAAGCCCAGGAAAAGAATATTTACAAGCAATGCTAAACCTTTCCTGATATCCTATTAGAAGGAGAGTTAGTAACAACAAAAGGCCTTTTGTAGATGTAGATTTGATTAGTTTTTTATACTGCCTTCTGTCTTCAGTGTCTTCTATGAAGACTGGTCCTTCCTGATGGATGAAGAACACTCCAGTATGATTCCTACAATGGCAGCTGGTAAGCATGACTCAACATCCTAGAACAAAGCCAAGGCAGTGGACATGCTTGAAACCTTCTAAGAAACTGGGTTCCTTCCTTGCTTAGCTATGATTTATTTAACTGTGTCCTACTGGTTAATCTGCAGCAGCTAGGGTTGCGTACCATCCTGAGCTACAAATCATGGTTTATAAGCCGTAATAGCTTTACTGTGAAAAACGAATCGCTGTGGGTCATGCTCACCCTTCTTGGAACTCAATGGCTGTTCCTTCTTAAGGAATTGCATGGCATGGATAAAAGACTGGGTGTCAGATTCCAGGCAGATTAACGGCCAGGTAAGGCAACTGATCAAATCTAACTGACAATGAAGAACTTCCTCTATATAAACAAACAGTTCTACCCCATTTCCCTCATTTTCCTCTGACCAGTCTTCTCACACACCCCAACCCATTGGAGGTGGTGGCATCTGCATTCTTTCTCACAACAGTGAACCCAGCATTATCTTGGACCTCAGAAACCGCCTTCCTTGTCTCTCTGTACCAGAGGAGGTGCCTGGTTTGCACCTAGCAAGTTCAGCTCCTTGCATCTGCAAAGAAAAAAGATGACTGATAAGGATATGCTAGGCTATTTTATTTATTTATTTTACCATAGAAGGCCAAACCCACTGAAAAACCCATTGTAGGTAACCAAAAGTTATAATGCTCACACCAAAAATTCCTAAACCATTGAAGGTCTGATAGTGATGGCATCATCACTTCTGGAGATATCCAGTGACTCTTAAGAGAAAAAAAGCATTCTCGTCCTCAGAGGTGACATAAGAGTGGGTTAGGAAAGATGACACTAAGCTATGACATGGCTTGTTTGGTTCTGGCTCATCACATTGTATAAACCCACCATTATTTATTCACCAAAGGATAGCTAAGCAAAACATGGGTTAGCGTGAGATGAGTTCTTGGCCATGATGCTAGTTTTTGGAGGACTGTTTCTCATCAAAATTGATAGTAGTGAATCAGATGGATAAAGAGGCTGTGTAGCAGACTTCTCTGAGCATGAAAACAGGAACTGATATCTCCCAAATACTGCAAAATGCTGTAGATGGACGTTGCTTTCATACCTGCTAAACGGGTACAGTAGTAAGTTAGAAAGGGGATCAAAGGTATCAAGGAGCTGCCTTAATATGCTCACTGAAACGATGGTTAGATTACACACATATGTAACCTTTTTTCCTTGCAACAAATCTGAGTAAGGAGAATTTGTAAAAATCTCTCTCTCTTGGTTATGACTTGCTGTTAGAGGGTTGACAGTCTGGGTTCCTGTTTTTATACAGTTTGAATGAAGCTAGGTTGACCTAAAGATTTTTTTCTCTGTTTTTGCTTTACCCAAAGGGCTGAACTCTATTCTTTTTGCAATCAACATTGATAATAAGGATTTAAATGGACCAAGCAAGTGCCCACCCTCAGTCTCTGACCTTCTCAAGGAATCGACCCAGAATGTGACCTCCTTGCTGAAGGAATCCACCCAAGGTGTTAGCACCCTCTTCCGGGAGATCACAGCTTCTTCTCCTGTTTCCATGTTAATCAAATCTGATCAAGATGCTGACCTGCTGCCTATTTTATCCAAGAGTGTCAGTGGAGGTAAGTGCTCCTAGGGATATAATATTGGGATATGTGGGCTGCATTTCCAGGAGAAGGGATGTATAGAAATCAGGGACTGGAATCCAACTGTTGCTTGCTGTTTCCTCAAAACCCTAGCTGCATCTTCCAGAGTCCCTTAAAATCTGATTCCAGATGCTCATTGTTAAAGTGAAAGAAGGGGTGGAGAGAATAATATTAAAAGTATGTAATTGAATTTGAATTAAATGTAAATTAAGTTTCAGTTAAAGGTTATTTTTATGCTGGGCCCACTTCCTTTTGGTAATGCCGGTCCTGACACACTAATTCCAGGCCAGGTATGGGCTTCAGCACAAACAGTTGCTCCAGAGTCGTATCAATGGAGGTTGCATCTGAATGCTGATCATTTTTATTGTAATGTACTACTCACAAAGCAGATGAAAGCCTTGGATTCTTCTTCCTGCTTCTAGAAGAGCTCTTCCCACATTTTCCCTTATGCTTGTTCTTGGTCGTGTTTTGTCATGTCATCTGATTTGTAAAATTAGTTATCAGTCACTGATACCCATTTGGTGGTCCTGCAGATGTTGATGGACTACATTTCCCAGCATTCTTCACTACCGATTATGTTGGCTTTGGCAGCTAGGAGCTGTGGTTCAATATCTGGAGAGCTCTTTTGCACGTGATCCATGTTATGCAGGCCATTCTTATCTGATATATTGAAGGGGAGAATATAACTTCATTTTCTGGGTTCTACTAATATGTTAGACCAAGGTGTATGTGAGTAAATTGACAAGCGATCATGGTTTATAACCATGTGGTTAAGGCATTCAACCACTAGTTAGCCCGTGAACTAGGTTTGGACATCACACAAAGCCTAATTTCAACATGGCTTAGAATGATGTTTCTAAAATAGTAGAACGGCCTATCTTGCAAGCTCTTTGAGTTAAGGCCTTCCATTTTAGACCTCTCTTTGTTCCTTCAGATTTAAAATACCGAAAAGATCGAATGAAGAAAAAGAAGAAAATCACAAAAATCATTTCATTTGATGAGGAAGATGGTCAACTTTTGGGGAACCCCTTACGGGTGACAGCTGCAGGGGAAGACTCAGAAGAATGTTCTGAGAGGCTTTCAGCCTCTGTAGCTTCTCCTGCAGCTGAGCAACTGGATCAGCTGAACGGCGACCAGGCTGTGACTTCGCTGAAAAATCTTTCTGAATATCTGAACGGTGACTATAGCTTCCTGAAGCTGGATGTTAAAAGTATAGATGATGAAGATGCAGATGAGAATGAAGAGAGCAGTGCCAGAACATTTGGAAACCACAGTCGGATGGAAGACACAGATGTGCTCACAAAGTGAGTCTGGACCAAATAGAGGCATTTCTGTGCCTTAATTCAAGAATGGCCTGTTCATATTTGGTAGGGGACCGTATCATGTACATGAGAAGTCCAAGAATCTGCCCCCTCTTTTTCCCCCCTGGTTCTGGGAGAGGGGTTGGCTTTTTCCTTCCTTTTCAAACTGTATTAAGAGCCAGCTTTGGGGCTTCACTTTTGCTTTACTTACATTTCCTGTCTCTAAATGCCATTGATTTCAGGAAATCATGGTTGATGAAGGTTCCTGGATTTGCAAAACCCTAGGTTCGTGCCCTCTTTCCTGGAGTTAATTAATCCACCTAGGCAAAAGTAGAGATTCAGAGCAGGTTTCTATCTTAGAGGAAAACTATTTGGTAACAAATCTGACACAGATGACAAATTTTTCTTTTTTTGGCTCGGTCAACAGTGTCCTGAACGTTCTGGAGCTTTGAAAAAGCAAAGCAAAATCCCATGGAATAACAAACCACTTGGTTTGGTCAGTTGTACCGTCACCCTCCAGTCTTCCTGCCCTCCTCCCTTGTTTTTCCTGCCATCATTTCCTTGATCCTGCTGCAGCCAAACTCTCTGCCTGCCATCTGAAAAAGCAGCCCCCGCTACTCAGACAGATGCCAAACGCAGCGATCCTTTAGCTGCTTTCTTTTGCAAGCAAGGAGCTTTTCACCTCTCGCTGATTTTATTTTTTTATTTTTTTATTTTTTTATTTTTTTATTTATTTTTTATTTATTTATTTATTTGAATCTTAGAATACAATGAAAGTGTAAAAAAAAAATTAAAGGAAAAATAATAAGAAAATAGAGGATAAGAAAAAAGAGAAGAGAAAGGGAAGAAAAAGGAAAGAAAAAAAAATATTGAATGACTTTCGCCCTTCTTTCTGTCGAGTAATTGCCATCTTATTTCCCCTCCCTTTTTAATCCTCAAATCCCTAAATCATCAATTCAGTCTATTCTTCTTTCAATGAAAAGTCCATATAAGGTTTCCAGTCTTTCAAAAAAATCTATATCATTTTTTCCCTGACCACCCTGATCAGCTTTGCCAGTTTGTATAGCTTTAGGAAGGGGTGTAGATGGCCAAAAAGACTGCAGCGAATAGGCTTGCTGTGTATGTGCAGCTTCTGTGCTGTTTCGGGGAAGCAGGGCAGGTGTAGGAGCTCCCATGTACAGAACATCTTTGTCTGGTTTAAGCCAGACTTAATGAAGTCTGATGGAAACAGGACAGATCCTGGGCTGGAGACTGGAGGTGAGAAGGATTACATTGATTTGAAGACCAAAACCCAAGAAGCAGAAGTGATCAGAGACAAGATTTATGGAGGAGACAGCTGGGGAACCCATTAGTAAGCACTCAAAGTAAAGAATGGGGCAAACATCCTGTTAAGCCCTGCTTGGTTTTAATCATGTCTTATTCAGTAAGCCACTACAGGTAAGGTTCAGACAGTATGCTAACCCATAAGTCATGGCCAGCACATAATGGCTATTTCCCATACCATGCTTTGTCAAAACTAAACAAGGTCAGGGTGATGTATGAATTTAACCTGTCTCTAATCAATGGAGAACTTTTCATGAGACAATCCTTTGCACTGGAGCCTAGAACTCAAGACTCCTTTTCACAGCTTATTGAGCGCGCTGTCTATAGTGATGGAGAACAGTTTGTTCCATGGGATTTGTGCAGCTTGAAATACAAGTGCCTTAGTAGGGTTCAGCTTAGGAGCCACCCTTCCTGAATGCTATGATTTTGGTGTCAGGGCCCAGAAGGATATATTGTCGCCCTAGCTCTGCCTTGTTTGAGATGGTCTTCAAGCTTCTGCTAGGCATTTCGATCTTGGCAGTCAATGAAATAAAATACCTGGTTTGCTCAGTGATGATTCTTCTTTGGGACAGATAAATGGCTAGAATATCATATTCATACTGAATATGATTTTCACATCAATGTTCATATTGCTGGAATATTAGAAGCTTATTCATGACTGTGGCACATGTTGCAGTAAGTCAAGCTGCAGTGGCTGTGGTTTTCCTTCAGTGTGACATATGAACCCAAACCCAGCTTATGAGGTACTGTGATGTTTAAACCAGTCCAGTCCAGCTTTAAGCCAGTCTTAATGCAATGTATGAATCCAGCTTTCTGGCTTATTCAATAAAATGAACTGCAGCTTTGCATGGTAAGTGAATCCCTTTTATTGGAGATGTTGGTGGTGTCCATATAGATGGCTTGGGTTTCCAGTGGGAGGCTGGGTGATTCAGTGACTTAGAAATCTCATAACAAAATTTAATAAATTAAAAAATATGGTTATCTTGAGTGGCCTTTGAACTTGCTTTCTTTCATGGAAAGGCAACCAGCTAGCTAGGCTGTGATCTCTTCCACCACTTACTTTTTTGGGGGTTTGTTTTGTTTTTGGTTTGTCTTAAAATAATTAACTGTAGACCTGCTGAAGGTGTGACATCCCATTCACCGGTTTGCACTGGAACTCCCCTGCAAATGCTGAACGATGACTCTGATGAATTATTCCCTGTCAGTGCTGTGGGTTCTTTCTCCCAGACTGGTGAGTAGGTCTTGATATCACCACATATCCTCTGTGACCAAATGTGCTAGGAGAGGGGAGACTGGTAGGCTAGGTTTCCTCAGTGTCCCTTCGGCAATTCAAGGGTTTGTGTAAGTTTTGATACATTTTATGGTCTCCCATGTGGGATTTAACATCTTGAGTGCCTGAAAACAAGCACTGAACATATTAAAGAGCATTTCTTTAAGAAAACATCCTCCTCTTCCTGAACTTCTTACAAACATTTTGGAGAGGCCTCTCATTTGTGAGTGTTATAGAATTTCCCGAATCTAGCATCCAAATCTAGAATCTGTCTATGTGATCACTAAGAGTCAACAGCAACTTCATGGCCCATAATCAAATTAATCAGAATCCGCTGTTCCAGCTTTGAGATGGGCCCTTTGAGGTGTTCTGGTTATGATTCAACCTCAGATGGACTCGTTCCATGTGCAAGGAACAGTCAGAGTCGCCTCTTTCAGGATCAGAATGTTCCGTGGTCGAAATGTTTTGCACGTTCCTCATTCAATTGATTCAGCAAAGCCGAAATAGTGTGGGTAACTCAAAAGAGGTAGAGGTATATGTTCTTCATATGCTGGTCTATGACCGAAATAAAATTGATTGATTGATTGTATACGTTCTTCATGTGCGTGCAAAGTCTCACAGAACTGGGCAAGATCAAGGAAGCAAAACTGACCCATATTTAATAAGGTGTCTTTAAAGTTGGAAGAGGAATTCCCAACCCTCATTTGTCAGTGAGTTCATCAAGGTGCAATCTCTTGGAATGGTTTGAATAGTTTCTTTGCGGGTCTCCCGCCATCTGGACTGAATTGCCATTTATGAGATAAGCTGCTAATGGACTCCCCTCTTATCTCTCGATTGTTCCTGCCTGACACTCCTTCCATTTCTCTCCCAACCTCCCTACAGCCTCTCACGGGGATGCAGCTTGTAATAAAGATGCTTCACGCACAGCTCCAACTCCCCCTGTGAAAATGCGTACTCTATTCGATGGTTTCATGTGACACGTGAGCATGTTCGGGGTTTGCTTTTGCTCGTGCACGCGCACATCTGGAAATGGAGCAAAAAAGGTTGCCTTTTGGAGGTACCTTTCAGAAGCAACAGCTGGAATCTGGCCTTGCTTTTTGTGCATGGCCTTGAAATGCAGACCTCAATGACCAAGGGTGATACCTTGCAAGCCACGGTGGTTGGCCTCCCCACCAAGGCTGGCCAAAACACTCTACCCTTGGCAGGTTGCCATTTCTTACAGTTCCCTGCTCAAGTATGAAGCAAAGGCAAACTAGGTCAGTATTAAGTTGTCCTTCGCCATCCTCAAAGTAGTCAAGAGCTCCCCCCCCCCCCCCCCTT